CTATATCTTAGATCTAATTTTTATTACATTTTATTATTAATATTGTTTGAAGGAGCAGTTATAATTATGAATATTTATGGAGAACCATGTGATTTTTTTAATATATGTATACAATGTGGAATTATTAAAAAGTCAAGCTCATTAACATATCTATCTAGTCCTTTCCTGATCTATGTTATTTTTGTGGTGAAACATTTTAAAATTACTTTTATTTTGAAATATATAAATATATAATAAGGGTCTCATTTTATTCTTTTGTACATGTTACTCAGTCTTCTCAACAACATTTGTTAAAAAGGATGTCTTTTCTTTAACATACACTTTTGACATTTTGTCAAGGACCAGATGATTATACATGTGTGGATTTATCTCTGCATCTTCTATGATATTCCACTGGTGGATGTGTCTGTTTTAATGCCAGAATCTGGTAACAATTATTTTACTCTTTACTTCTACGAGTTAAACCTGAAGACCTAAATTTAAGCTTAAAACTCTATAAGACATTTATAAAATAACATGAGAAAGTATTTAGATAATCTTGCATTTGATGGTGTTCTTTTAATTGAATCTCAAAATCCATGAAAGAAAGTACTGGTAAATTGGGACTTTGATAAAATTAAAAACTTTTAAGAACCTGGGAGTCTGGGCACATAAGTTCAGGAGTTTAAGACAAGCCTGGGCAACATAGTGAGATCCGATCATAAATAATCCATCAGTCAATCCATCAATAACTTATGATCTGAAAAAGAAAGTGTTAAGAAAATGAAGAAACAAACCACAGAATGGGAGAAGATATTTGCAAACCAAATATCTTTTATTTATTTATTTTTGTCATGTTCAGGTTTATTTCCTGTGCATTATTTGCATCTCATTGGGATTTTGTATTTAAAACAAAGACAGTGAATTCCTCAGTGCTTTTCACTGAAGCACTTATTTTTGTCCTCCCAGATTTCCTGTGGTGTATAGGCCACTGCTTTGAAGCAGGCTCCTATGGGTAGCGAACCTTTTCAAAGACAGAGAACCTTCCAAATGTAGGGGTCAGAACTAGGTCTACACTTGGTGGCTCCCACTTTGTCTCTTTTGCACCAGAGCACTGCCCTCAAAGGGGGTGCTAACTCCACTTCAGGATGAGGAGAGAGAGAAAACCTAAATGACTCCACACAGACTGAACCCAGGCTTGAAGTCCAGCATGGCAACCTCCACTTTTTACACTCCACCAACTGACCCATGCTGGTCCAAATCCACATCAGGGCTGTCCTTCCCTGCTTTGCTCCTAAGGACCAGGCTCAGTGCCTAACAAAACAAAAGCCTCCACTGCCCAGTGTGAGGGAAGCTGTCTTCCTCCAGGGAGAGCCCTTCTCCACTTGACCCCCAAGCCATGCATAGTACTGACCCACCTCCTGGGCTTTCCCAGGACAAATCTCCGTTTCTTACCCCTTCCTTAAGAAGCAGGGCTCTGGGATACCCCTCCCTTGGAGGGTTTCTAGCCTCTAGGTCCCTAATCTACAACATCAAAGACACCGGGCCCTTGGTTTGGGAGGCAGTTGGGGGGGTGGGACTTTGGTCAGGTGTCCCAGCACCATGCCTGTGTCAGGTGGAACTGAGGTGCAGACTGCTGGCCCTGGAGGTGACAGAGTCTGTCCAGGACCAGAGTCCAAGGATGCCTCATCCCAGAATCTAATTATCAACCACTTGGCCAGAACAAGCCAGGGATCCTCCTGGGCACTCATGAACTTAGGCCTGAGATGAGTTCCCTGACAGTGCAGCAGAAATTACCCTGCCATGGCTCTGTGGCAATGTCATACTCTGGAATTTTTTTTAAAAAAGACAACAACCAGCAAACAGGAGGCTGAGTCACAGCAGGCAGAGGCTTGTGGCCCATGGTCAGTGTGAGGGTAGGAGCCAGCCATAGTATAAGAGGATGGGAAGTGGGGAAAGGGGCCTTCCTGCCATGCTCCCCTGGACTTCTTTAGGCAGTAAGCAGACTCTCCAAAGAATGTGGACTCTTCTAACCAGGTGTTTCATATCTACACACCTCCAGCTGCCCAGAAGCTGACCAGAACCTGGGTTCTCAGCACAGCTCAGCACTAAGCAGCCCCAGAGTCTGGGCCAGCCACTCAGGCATTTTTCACCTCAGTCTTCTGTCTGTTTAATGTGACAGGGGCTGCTCCTGGACTCTGGTCCAGGACCAGAGTCCAAGGATGCCTCTGCCGGTTACAGGAGGCTGAAATCCTGGGAATCCAAGTCCAGTACACTAGGACTGAGTACAGGCTATGCTGCTATGTATTCTGTCACCAAGGAGAAGCCTCCTGGCCTGGGTGGGCACTACTCAAGAGCAGAGATTCTGGGGGTGCCCATGGGGCCTTCCTTCCATTGCCAGGCCCTCCCAACCAAAGCAAGGCTTTGGTGACTGGGTTATTTTTTCAGTGACATTCCACACCACCTTCTTCGTTGAGGCTCAGTGTCTCTGAGGTGTTCTGGGTCCAGTGGACTAGGTTTTGAGGGCAGCCAAGGCAGGCAAGGTCTCCTACTTCAATCAGCTTCCTGCCTAGGAGCCTGGCCAGACCCCTCAATGAGTGGCTCCTGCTGCAATCTAGGTAGTTGAGGAAAGCTGGTAAGAGGTCTTGCTCCTCAAGGGGACCTCACTGATAGCCATCCCAAACTCTATGGAGGCTAAACCCCCAAGTGCAGGGTGAAGTCCCTGCCCATGCACCCTAGGGGAGTCTGGTAGGGTGTAGCATGGCAGGTGGATCCCTGTCCCCTATCCCCATCACCTTCTGGCAAGAGGCCCCTGCAGATAGCAGGCCTTTGTGTGCTGAGGAAGCCCTCGTCCTGCTAAGCTCATGGCTCAGGAAATGAAGGTGACTGAAGACACCAAACATTCTCTTTCAGGCCCTGAGGAACTGAGAGGGAAGGGACTTGCCTACAGCTACCCAGCTAGGCATGACAGGGGCATGCCAACCCTGAACTACAGAGTCCTGCACCCTCTCTGAGGCTGGGCCCAAGCTCCCTGAGCCCCATGTTCAGGATCTGGCCCCTGGGTCCTTCCCCAACCCTGGAGCCCATGTGATCCCAGGCCCCTCCCTCTGATGTGGTCCCTGCTCCTCCACCAGTGGGTGCCTGCACCTCCTTCCCCACACTCCCTGAAGGAAGGTGTTCCTGTGGCACCCGTTCTCCTGCACACACTTAGTTCACTGGCAGCCATCTGCCCCGAGACAAATGGGGACATGCTGCATTAGCAATTGGCAGCATCCTCGGAACTCTATTCTGCCACCCCGGAGGTATCATATGTCAGTGTCATGAAAAGGCATGAGACTGGAGGATTGGGAAGTGGCAGCTGCCAGACACTTTCTGAGTAGATCAGGGTGGGGGTATCTACTGCACCAGAGGGCATGCAGCAGCTCCACCATGATCAATGTCAGGGATAGGGCATGTAAGGATATAGTCACTGGTCCTCATCTGGGGGACACATCCAGCAGAGGCACCCAGAGTATGAGTGTTACTGGTCCAAGGTGCCAGGGTTAAGCCTGGCACTTAGTCTCTGCCCACCAAGTGCCAGCTGACCAGCCCACAGGAATGCACCCTTGTCCCTGGTTCTGACATAAGAATGTTCCACTGAGCTTCACCAGGTGAGGGGGAGCCCAAGCCACACCAATGAGAGGCAGAGAGGAAACCAAGTTCAGTAAGTGCCTGCTGGGGGACCCTGTTCATGTTCACAGCACTTCTTGGAACTGGGCTTAGCATCCCCATCTTAAGAGGAGAAAACAAGGCTCTTAAAGATTTTCAGAAGCTGATTCAGTCCTACAGCAGCAGAGGACAGACCCTGCTCTGGTCTGCCAGTGTGTGACACCTGGTTCAGGCACAGTTCCCGGGGTAGCCTGTCTCTGAGCCAAGCCAGGTCTTCTCTGCACCTCATGGCCTACCCAGCCCCATGCCACCCTTTCCCTGGGCCCAGCTCCTCCTTTCCTCCTGCTCTGCCCTCCTCCTTGCCCTGAAGATGCTGTCTGCCACCCTTGATTCCTACAGAGCAAAAAACACCACTTGCCTGCACAGCTGTCTCTGCACTGCTCTGTCCCTTGTCAATCCCCTCTCTTGGCCACCCTTCATTTGTAATGAATGAAGGGACTGAGGCAGCATAGGCCAGAGTGTGTGCCCAGGTTTTGTGGCAGTGGTAGAGGGAGGAGTGAGGCCCACCCCCACTGGGCCCCTCAGGCCCTTCCCTCTTCCCCTTCCCTGCTAGAGGCTGAAGCCAGATACCACTGAGCCATATCCCCAGCCATTTTTCATATTTTATTTAGAGCTAAGGCCTGATTAAGTTTGCTGAGGCTGTCTTTGAATTCACAATCCTTCTGCCTCAGCCTCCTGAGCCTTATAGTTATGTGCCACTGTGCCCAGGGATATCAGTGTATTGAAAACTGCTCTTGGGGAAGGCTCAGGGCAGAAGGTAGAAAAGGCAGCACCCACCCCTCCTGGGATTCCATCCCTTCCCACACTTTGTCCCGTGGCAGGTGGCTGGACAAGAGGAACTTGTCATCTCCCTGGTGCCAACACCAGGCCAGTCACCCAGGGAGAGGGGTTTGTGGTCAGGTCACAGCAGTGATGTCATTAGAGTGTTTCATCTGCTTTGATTCCTGCATGACTAGCATCCAAAGAAGCAGCTGTCCTGGTGTGTGTGCAAGAAAGCAGATCCTACTGATAACACTAGTCTGCCCTATTTACCATGTGTGGCAGTAAGTGTCCCTTGGGATGGCATTTACCTGGACATTCTGGTCTGGGCTCAATGTGGCTTGGGAATAGACCAGGACATTTCAGGGACATGGTTTCTCACCATTCTCTATTTCTTTAAGGACAGCACACTTCCCTCCTCTTTTCCATTGTTGGCCACATTCTTCCATCTTGATCTGGAACTGGGGAAACAAGGCCCACAGGTCTGGCAGCCAGCCCTGCCTACCCTCTGTCAAATCCACTCTGGGAGCCTGGAGACTGAGGGAAAAACAAAGATGGCGGATGAGACAGGCTGCAGGTGGGTCACCCACTGTGCCCTTCCTCTCAGTTGCCTCTTCAAGCCCATGCCAAGAGAGGAAGTGGCCAGATGGGGTGGGGGAAGGGCTGCCTTCCCACAGTGGAGACGAGGCTTGAGGCTGTGTCTCTGAGTGAGGGTGGCAGGAGTAGCCCTGGCTCTCTGGCAGTGAGCATGGGACCTCAACTGCCTTCCTTCCCTTTTGGCATCCTCTGAAACCTAGCTGCCCATTCCTACCCTTGGCCTCATTCTTGGATGAGGACAGACTTGTGGGTGCTGAAACATGGCCACACCAGCATGAACCCCCTCTGTGGCCCACTATGGTTGGTAGGGCACCAGTTAACAATGAGCCCTGAAAGAAAAGACAGAGTAGGTGGAGGCAGGTTTATATTCAAAGAGTGAACTGCGCAAGAGAGCTGTGGTGTTCACACAGCTTTGGGTCCATGGTGCACGTGAACCCGAATCCCCTTCATGTGCTCTAGGAGGGAAATTGCAGGCACTTTCTGGTCCTGGAGCTGGCCTTTGGAAGGTCTGTATTATTGAGACAATGTGGCCACACCCACCAACCAATTCTGGAGAAGATGGCCTGCCACTGGCCATGTTGGGTGTTTCAATGGGCATGTCCAGGGTCCTCCTCTATGTTCCAATGGGTCTCTACCTGAGGTTGGGTGGGTGAGGTCCTCAGCTGGGATAGAAAGCCAGCAGCCCAAGTGTTCATGGCACCCAGTTTACTCTTGCCCTAGCCCTATAAGCGGGAGGGAGACCTAACTCCAAGACCCTCTCTCACACTATCTAGGAGGGCTGAGAGGCCAGTGGGCCCAGGAAGAAAATGTCGAGCCTGTAAGACATTCACCCATTCCAGCCTCCAAGTCTATCCTGGGGTCTTTGCTGTGGTCCTTAAGGGTCAGTAGGCTCTCCTAGGCCTCTTTGGGGGCATACTTTTAGACCCTGTGCCTTCTGGCTCTTGGTGATGGAATGGAGAAAGGGCTACCATCAAATGCCAGAGCCAGCCCAGGAGATCTTATGAGGTCCCTGGAAGGCCTGAGGATGGGCCTGGTCAGAGCTTGACAGGACCACCCTGCACTTGGGTTGGCCAGACCTGACTGTGAAGCTGGGCAGTCTCAGGGGCCCATCTGGCAGTTCTCCAAGCAGCTTAATAAGGCCGAGGAACAGTCACCAGGAAATGAGGGCAGAGGGGAAATGAGCACAGAGGATACACAGGACTTGAAAGACTTGTGCCATCCAGCCCTGGACACCTCACACAGTCTTCCTTCAGGGAGTGAGGAGTGCCAGAAACAGGGTCTAGAACCCAGGCTGCCACTGTGGCCTGCACTGCTGCTTATCAACACCCTGGGCCTCACCTTCCTCAATCATACGGTGCGACCCAATACCTGCCTCCTGGTAAAACTGCCATCAGGCTTTGCTAACCCATTGACAGTCATTAAACAGGCCTGCTTTGTGACACCAAGGACAAGAACTACTGTGCTGCCTCACAGGTGAGAAAAAGAGGGCCAGCATGCATGTGATGGCTGTGAAGGGTCTCCAGAGGCCATGCCCTTTCTGTGGAACCCAGGATAGGGTCCCTTGAAGATAAAATAGGCGATGAGAAGCTGGAGTAGCCCTGCTGGGGGACAGTACTTGGGCCAGATGTTTCTAGAGAGTTCCCACGAAGCCAGGAGTCCATCTCACTCTCCTCCCCCTTCAGGACCTCTCCTGTGTTCCCTGCCAGTCATGAGCGACAACACTGCAGCAGGGCAAGACTGGACCTCTGTAAGCACCACCTGTGGGCAGCTTAAACGTCCCCTGGTGCTCACCTCTCTTGCCCTGGTCCAGATGGCCTGGAGTGTCCCAGAGTCCTGCAAATGTTCTTGATAGTGGATGACAGCCTAGAGGAGACATAACTCGGTGACATGTACTGACTGGTTCTGAGCCAGACTCTGGACAAACTCTACCTGCCCCACAGCCTGGGGAGGCCCTCACACTTCTCACAAAAAGTCCTCCTCAGGCCCAGACTTCTAGATATTAGGAACAGTCACCACTGGTGTGTGGGTGACAGGGATGCCAAGAATCTCAGTGTTAAGGTCTTGACATGAAGGAAGAGGGTCCTAGGGTCCTCCCCACATGAGCAGCTCTGCCCTGCTTTACTGGGGACTTCACTCTCTTTGAAGGATGCCCAGCAGAGCTAGTCTGACCTTCCAACTAGTGTTGCTTGTGCCTCCTGCCATCTCTAGAAAGTTTAGCAAGGTTACCTTTTACCACAGTGAAAGAGGCCTTGTGGGTTGCAGGTGGAGATTGGGACAACCCAGGTGGGGAGGAATATGGAACAGGACAGAGTCCCAAGTGGACCCTGGCCTCAAGAAGCCTTCCAATCCTGGCTCAGATTGGTTTAGCTGACCTCTGGGGCCTTGTGACTCATGGGCAGGAGCAGCTAATCCTCAGATGGCTCCTGCTTCAGTTAGTGAGAAAGTAGCTGGGGTGGGTGGTGGGTGTCTGGCAGGCAGCAGCCCAGCGTGGCAGGAGCATTTGCACCTGGCACTGGCAGAGGAGCAGCATCTATGACCAGGGGCCCACCAGAGAAGCGGGAGGGAGACCTAACTCCAAGACCCTCTCTCACACTATCTAGGAGGGCTGAGAGGCCAGTGGGCCCAGGAAGAAAATGTCGAGCCTGTAGGACACTCACCCATTCCAGCAGGTGGCTTGTCTCTGAAGTGTGGGTCCAGGACTTGCTGGGCTCTTCTTCAGCTCAAGGCACATGACCCTGCCGAATTCTAGGTGGTAAAAGGACATCTCATGTGGCTGACCCCTCACCTGCAAGAACAGGAGGCCGCTCTGTGGTAAGCTAAGAAGAGGACAGAGGCCTGCCCAGCAGGTCTGGGAGAGTACTGCCCAAAGTTCTGGGGCTGAGGGTCTCTGAGAGAATCTCCTTTTTTTTTTTTTCTTATTATGCCACTGGGAAATGGAAATGGAAGAGGAAAGTCCTCTTAGGGCTGACAACACACTCAGGTTTGGCATCCCATGTGCTTAAGACTCCAGCAACAGCCTGGATGGGGAGAGAGCAAGGCTCTTGCTGGTGGACACCCACAAGCCCACTCATCCACCACCTCTTGGCACATCTGCCCCAGGAGCCTGTGCCTGGTGGTTTGCAGGCTGCTGCTGCCACGGGTCTTCCTTAGCACTCGCCCCCAGTGTTTCTGCAAGGGTCTCCAGCTGAGGGCTGCTCCTGACTGGGGACTAGTGGAGCACTCTGCCATTAGAGCTTACATAAAATGATCCTCCAGACAACCTGGTACCCAGGTGCCGGAGGCTCAAGTAAGGGAGAAGTTGAGTGTTAGGCTAAGTAGCTTCTGAGGCACAGGCAGGAAATCTCAGGTAGAATCCTAGGAACTCTGCATCCTTCTGTCTACCTTCCTGCCTCCAGGGCCCAATATGTCCACACAAGGTTCCCCAGCAAGGGGCTCATGGACTTACCCTCAGCCCAGAGCCATCTTGTCCTTAAACCACTGCTCTGTGACTCCAGCTCAGCTGACAAATGGTGAGAAGTAGAGGAGATGTGCTGTACCCTGCCTGGCACAAGGATTCTGGGATCCAGAACCTGTAGCAGCATTGGATCAGGTACACAGCTGCTTCCAGGTTCATCTTGTGGCCCACGGAGATGTAGAGAGGCTTGTTGCTGAGGCTATGGCTCTTCAGGGCCTACAGCATGGAAAGGAGGTCAGAGCTGCAGGAACACATGCCCCTAGGTCCAGACCAGCCACAGGGAGGCTCTGACGAGGTCCTTGGTTGTAGCAGGGAGTTCTTGGACTCCCATCCCCTAGGCTCCTTCCTGGTGCCTGTTCCTGGGCAGGGTGAGTGTGTGTTGGCATCAGAGGGTCTGAGGTGCATGCGTGCAAGTGCATGCAGTGCCTCTGACCTGGCAGAGTAGAGTGAAGACCCAGGCCAGTCATCATTCCCAGGACAGTTCCAGAACCTCCTGTCAGAAGACGCATCTCCTTCAACCTGCAGGAGCTGATTCTGGAAAATGGGGAGAAAACTTGTAAAAAATGTATTTTCTTGATGAAGGACTGAGGCAAGCCCCTTCCTCTTTAAAACCCAGTCACAAGCCAGGAAAGGGAAGGGACCTATCCTGGATGATACTGTACCTGAGCTAAGCCATCTGCTCAGACAGCCCTGAGTGTGCCCAAGGCCCCCATATGACCTGACAACAGGGGCTTTGAGATGGGCAGCAGCTCACTTGGGACCACAGCACTGGTAAGTAGAGGAGTGGGTTAGAGCACACAGGACCACCCTGGCAGCAGGCTGTGACCTGGACTCAGCTACTAGCTTCTTTCTGCTTCCTACCTACTGGGAACTTGGACATGTGTGGGTCACCTCTACACTTTCCTCTGGAGGGGAGAGGATTGGCCTCATTGACCTGGGAAGGGTCTGGACCCCCATGTCCTCCACAGATGTTTATGAAGTGAGTGCTCCACACAGGTGCCTCTGCCAGAGGAAAGGACAGATGGGATCTTTGCTCTCAGAATGTGCTTTGCAATAGAAGAGCCAAAGTGTTAATGTCACCTCCCCAGTTCATGCTGTGGGGTCAGAGGAGGGAGATGCAGGGGTGATAACGGGTATGGATGCAGTCACAGGCAGGAGCAGTGGTCCAAAGACTGACACCTGGGATAGCATGGGGGTAACTTGGGGACATAACCTACAATAATCTACATGAGTGCAGCAGCAGCACAGAGGTGGTGATGAAAGAGGCAATCATAGCACAGGGAGGAGTCAGGGGCCCCAGGGGTTGCAAGCCACAGGCTAGGATACACCACCCAGGACTACATGGAGAGAGGCACCCAGAGAACATCAGATGTGCTTTACACCAGGCCAGGATCCAGGGACACAGAGGTGTCTGGGAGGTAGCTAACCTGTCCTTCCTCCTAGGACTATTCCAGGCAGCTGCTGGCTGAGCCCAGGCTGTCCAGGCCTCCTTACCTTCTCCTTTTGCAGGGCACTCTTTTCTAGCATGTCTACCTGCAGGAGTTTCTTGGCCACTCCAGTGCAGGGCAGCTTTGTGAGGACACCAATGTAGCAGGCCACCCCAAAGCTTGGCAGTGGGCAGAGGAGGGTGAACTGGGGCAGTGGGGCTGGGCCGAAGTAAGCCATGCAGCCTGGAGGTGAGCCCAGGATGAGGGCTGAACAAAATCTCACCATCTGCAGACCAGCAGAGCACTCAGGGCCCAGACTCCAAGACCCTCTGTGCCCTGACTTCATGGGTGAGGTTGGGGCAGCCCAAGCAGCGTAATCAGCACAGTCACGCTATGTCACCCTGTTCTTCCTTTCATTTTCTGGCAATTTCCTTCTTTCTCTCCACTTTGATGCTGCCCCCAGGCCTATGAATATGTTCCCATGGCCTCGGTGCCCATGCCCAGGAGCATCCTGCTGGTCCCACCACTAGCATCCAGGTCAGCGTGAATTTAACTTTTGTCTTTGGGCCCATGGGGTCCAAGGGCAGTGGCCAGGATGACCGTCAACCTCAGCCCTCCTGGGACAAGGTCCCTGCATCCTTAGGAAATGGCACTCCTGTCTGATTATGGACAGAGGCCTGACTGTCCAGCTCAGGGATGGTGGTGAGGGTGGGGCCCTGAGCTCAGGCCCTGTGACTATTCACAGTGGCCAAGTTGGCCCTGGACCATGGTCCTGGAGATGGCTCAATGTAGGGTGCTATGGGGAAGAGAAGGGTAGGTAGTGAAGGTGGGGTGAAAGGGGGGCTCTTCTCTGGGTGGGGTCTGTCCTGTGGTCTTACTGCCAATGGTGAAAATGAGTCCAGAAAGGAGCCAACAAAGCCCAGCTGGCAGCAGATGCTCTTACATGGGGTCAGACACGCCCTCTTCTGGTCTTTCCCAGTGGCCACTCTGACCTTCTCTTTTGGGAGAGCAAGATTACCTCAGTGATGGAACACCCAATTTTCACCCAGAAAAAGAACCCACAGAGCCACAGGGGAATCACAGTCATCTAAGCTGACCCTCACTCCTCAGGTTGGGCTGTTCATGGGGCAGAAGAAAGGGGAACTGCCACAGTGGTCCAGCTTTTTAGAAAATCCTCTTCTTTTCTGACTCTGAGTGATATTGGCTTCCAGGGAGCCTTCCCTACCCCAGGCAGAAGCAGAGGGTCCACTTCCTGCCTCTGGGAGGAAGTACATGTCTGGTGCATGAGGCCTGGCTCCTTCTCCTATAGCAACTGTATCAAATCCACCAGAAAGGGCAACTCTCAGAAGGCCAAAAAGGCCTGTCGCATAGGAGGCCATCAGGCTACCCATTCAGCTCTCTTCATACATCACCTGCCACCAGGCATGCAGGTCAGCAGGAGCCTGAGGCCACTTCTTCCTGCCTCCATTTTCTCTGCCCTATTGCTCAGTTTACAGCCAATAACCAACTTCCTCTCTCTGACCCAACCATGGCTCCCTTCTCTTCCTCATCCATGTGTGGGACCTGCAAGATAAACTTCCTTGCAAATGGTG